ATTTTCCACCATTTGCAAAAAATTCTTTAAAAGTCAGACAAAATAATTTTCTCAATTTTTTTCACATTTTGTCTCTCATAGTTCAGGTCTACCTATGATGTCAATTACAGGCCTCTCTCATCTTTTTAAGTGGGAGAACTTGCACAATTGGTGACTGACTAAATACTTATTTTCTTCACTGTATTTTTTGTCTGCTGCTGTACTTTTGGACTCAAATTTAGGTCATTCTGTTGTGAAGACAGCCGACAATCAGACATTCAACCACTATCAGCAAACTGAGGTTGTTGCAGAGGACGGTGCTGGTTCAGTGGTGCAAAGGGCAACGTTCATCTTAAATATTCAAGCACTGGGTGGTTGTTAGGTCGGCTGGTGTGAGGCTGTCTTATGGTCAATGCAAATACTAAATCAAAATCAAGAAATAAGACGTTAAAAAAATAGAGGGAATAGAGGAAAAAATTAAGGCTGATAAATTCAGATCTACTTTGATTTTATGATTATATGATTTCTAAAAATAGCCATTTATTTATTTATTTATTTATTTATTTATCATTTTTATTTTCCTGTCCCAGTAAATTCATCATCATAGTTAGACAAACACCAGTGAGCGCATCATTTTAATAAAAAGATACAAGAACATAATCTGTCTGCCAGCATCTTCTAAAATGTGTAAGCTATGAAAAGGTCCAAGATACATTTCCTCTGCAAAGACCAAATTGAAATAATCATACAATAAAAGAAGTAAAATGTTTTTCTTTTCTCTTCTTAAATCGGATCATTAAAACTGATTTTATTTGATGTTTTTAACTAACTTGCTGAAAATGTCTGACAATAAGTTTCAGCTTTAGATACTGAGTGCTGTTATATGCTTGCATTACTGTGGTTTATGTCGTCTGAGAAATAAATTGTTCTGTTGATTGAGTTTATTCATTTTTCTAGTGGAAAAATAGTTTCTCCCAAATGGAAGAACTTTAAAGGTTTAAAGCTGCTCTGGAGAGACAAGATCCGCCTTAACAACGCCATATGGAGAGCCTGGTACATGCAGTGTAAGAGTGAAACCTTTTATCTGACAAGTTGTAGTTCAGTTTGTGTGTTTGGACTGCACTTGTCTTTGTCAGCGTACTCTTATCAGTATTATCTTTAAACTTGTGAACTGTGGAACTGGCTTCTGTTTTTACGATGTCTTCAAAAAATATAAACCTGTAGTTTTAAACCTGAATATACTTTGAGCGGTTTGATTGCATGCCAGTGTCTAATAGTAAATTTTATTTGTGTCATAAAGACAAACAGAAGCAGTTAACATAAGTGAATAATTATTCAACCAGATATGACTTGAGATAAAAATAAAAAAAATTGTCCATTTTAATTAGAGAATGATTAAAGTTGTTTTTTTTTCTTTCAGATGTTGAGAAAAGAGGGAATCCTGTTTGTCACTTTGTAACCCCCCTGGATGGAAACATGGACTCAGATGTTCATCGTCCTGCAGAGGTAAACAAAAAAAAAAGTGTGATGACTGTGAGAAATGCAGACTCAAAGATTTCTTAAATGTTTTGTGGCCGTAATCACAAAGATCATTTTAGGTTCAGTCTCCTGAAGACCTTAGTTTGCTGTTTTTTTTTTTTCTACTGCCTTCCCTTCATCTCGATGACAAATTTCTGCATTTTATTTTTATTTTTTCTTCTACAGGTGACTGCTACAGATGGAAAAGGCTGGAAAAGAAGAATTGAAATTGCCATAAAAGAATATCATAAATGGAGAACATATTTTAAGAAAAGGGTATTGCTGTGTTTTTTTAAACATTTTAATATGTTAATTATTCTCAGGGTAGCGCTTTGAGTTCTGCAAGTTTGTCCTATTGTCGTTTGGCTTTATTTGAAATATTAAGCTATGTAAAATAACATGGTGCTCGTTCTTTTGTAGCTACAGAAGCACAAAGATGAGGACCTGTCCAGCTTACTTAAGGTATGAAGAACTGCATCCTGATTAACAAAACACTTCTGATGTCAGCACCGCTAAAACTAACCCATTATTTATTTACTTTACAATAAATACTCTCTTCTATAATGTGAAAGGATGTTGACAGCTTGTATTTTGTTTATGAGAGCAGTCACTGCACTGTGCAAAAGTTTCAAGCACTTAAATTGATCGCACCTGTCTGTTCTCTCACATATGTGATAAATGAAATCCAAACAGCTGCTTATTTCTTTTGCACAGTATTAGCTGAGGTTTAGTGCATGAATGATGTTAGTGCCGTCCCTTGTTGATTGTGCACCACACTGCATGCTTGTGAGACATTAACTGGCTTGGTGGTTGCATTTTGCACAATTAAAGGGGCCAGAGGAGCAGTTTTCTCTGTTTGGAGAAGTCTCTCCAGACATGCTCCGTGCTTCCTTTTATCAGGATGAAGAGACCGCTTCACGCCGCGTGCCTCGCAAGTATAATGAAATCCCCGCCCCCATGGAGATGGACCCCCTGTTTGACATGGACGTTCTGATGTCAGAGTTCACAGACACCTTGTTCTCGACGCTGGCCTCACACCAGCCCATCGCCTGGCCCAACCCCAGAGAAATTGGTGAGAAAGTCATCAGATGTTTTCAGGAGCTTTTAATTTCCGCTCATTTTACTATCTTTGTTCCTCCGTACTGCTGCCTCCACTGCTCACAGCTCACGCAGGGAACGCAGACATGATCCAACCAGGACTCATCCCCTTACAGCCTAACCTCGACTTCATGGACTCCTTCGATCCTCTGCAAGGTAGTGATGAGGCGCTGCCCACAGCTGCAGAAATAAAAYGCAAACTAATATTGCACACTGTCTAGGAATTGAGCACACATGTTCTGATAATGCTGCTCTAGTCGTCAGCTTAGCCTAACATACGAAGTAGTGTGGTTTTTTACTAACCTCCGGCTAACATAGAGACTCTTGTTCCAGACTTATTTCACAGCCTCCGTCAGCCTGTCTTCCCCTCTGTTTCCCCCACTGCATCATCTGTCACCCCTCAACCCAGCAGCAGCTCTCAGTCGCAGGTAAACACCGACCCAGCCTCAGCCCCTAACACACTCCAGTATCACCATCTGTGCCTTAATATGGTTTTTCTTTTCTTTTGTTAAGTACAAAAATGGTTTTATGCAGAATTTTAAGGACTACTGTCATCTTTAGGTCTGTGTAAATACATCAAAAACACAAAATAACTAGAAGCACTCGGAGAGTGCAAATCTCCACCAAGACCACTTTCCCCCATCCTGTAATAGAGTTACAAAGGGGCACACCAATACTACAGTGCCACCTGCTGGACACTTTGAAACCCACGCCCTGTGAAAGCATCACAGCTTTGCCGATCTCAGAGTGTTAAAAGAAAAAATATTCCTGTATCCGCATCGTGATCCGGAACATCACCAAAATTTAAAGGTGTGTTACTTGAGCCAGTACCCATATGTGGTGGTAAAAATGTCATGAGTTTTTGAGTAATATTGTCCACAGACAGAACGACAGAATGACTGACAGACATACGCGACCGAAATCATTACCTCGCCCTTGGCGGAGGTAATAATTCAAAACTTTATTTAGCAAGAATCAACATGATTTGCTGAAATTGATTAACCCTGAAGTGAAGCAAGTTGAAATATTAAATAGTAAAGAAAATTTGTTTCTGTTTCAGATTTATTCTTCTTTATGAGTTTTGATAATTCGATTAAAGTATTAAAGCATGTTTTTTGAGTTTCCCCCTGAATGCTTTCCAGTAAATCCTCATTTTTCTTTAAATAACAAAATATAAAAGTGTTTTTACTTTAAGCATCCAAAAACTGTTTAACACCTCCAAAGTCTAAACCAAAGTTCATGTTGTTTTCATGTTGGTTTACCAGTGTTTGCATTTAAAATCATTGTGAAATGTAAAGAAAATAAACAGAAAATTTTATAACRTCATGGTACTATTATGGGAAGATTTACAGCAGCACCAACAAAAAGTATAATACTTAATCCACCTTTATTTCTTGCAATCGTTAAATTACCAATRAAAATAAAGATTATGTTCATGTCTTAATGTATAAACAGTATTTGTGTATTTTGTACAACATTCCTTTGCCTGTTAACTGTGGTAGTTTTTTTTTTCTTATTACTTGAAATTTATATATATAAAAAAGTCAGACAGGTCAAATACATGGACATTTTTAAAGTAGTAAAAAAACATCAATGTTTTATACAACATGGACTTAGCTATTTTATTACCTTCAAATTTAAATTCTTACAATGTCTCTTGTTTTTGTTTACTTGTTTTGTTTTACCACTTGTTACTTAAAAAAACAATATTAATGCAGCTTGGTTGATATTTATTTTTTCTACTTACATCTTTAATTTAGAAATCACAGCAAGAGAAACTAGTGGCATTAGCTGTAAATATTAGGCTAACTCTAACCCTCATTAACTCTTTAAAATGAATTTAACTACTAATGAATTAAATGAGAAATAATTCTTTCTCTGGCTAAAGCAGCCTGATTACTGATAAACTGTAAACTTAACAAAAAAAAAACAGTTTCCAGCTAACACTGTGTCTCTTCTCTATATTCTGCTGTAAGAAAGTAATAAATTACATTTTTTCCTTTTTTATCTATCATCAGACCTCGTTAATGTCCTCCTTGCAGCTCTCAGGGAACCACATACCCCCCGTCAGCCCCCTACCCCTTCCTGCCCCCATGGTCAGTCAGACGAATCCAACAGGTGACGATGAAGCTGCGTACGAGCAGAACTACGCTTCCCTGTTTGGTGGGGAGGTGGCGTCCAGCRATCAGCCTGTGGTTCCCTCCGTCTCTCAGCCTTTATCCCAAGACCCCCTGGTTCGATGCCTTCCAGGCCAGAATGTGGCCCCGGCAGCTCCCATGGTTCCTTTACCTTTGGAACATGCCTCAGTGCTGGACGAGGCCACACCCACCACCGTGATCACACATACCGCGCCCTCAACCGTCACCCCCAGCAGCACAGCCACCGCCTTCAGCCACATCTCGGCTGCTCCGCMCCAGCTCCAGCCTCTGGCTCCGCCTCCCGCTCCTCACAAACAGCAACCTCAGGCGTTCGCTCTGCCTCGCTCMTTTAAGGCGAACGCATCCAACAAGGTCCGTGCCGTGCAGCGGGTCGCTCCTGCCAGCACCCTCCCTCCTCCACAYGTCATTTTTCAAGGTCAGTGCTGTTCTTGTAAATGTTTTTTCTGATTTAATCTGAGAGTGGATATCTGATTGTCACGAGACAGCGCTCAAGCCTTTCCTATTYCAACAATCTTTGCAAGAAGTGGCTTTAAAACATGACATTTACACAAATTAGTTGTTCTGAAACATGTTTTATTTTACAGTCTATCAAAGCTGACTTTTGTTTAAATGAATCTGTCAACAGTACTGATTGRTTTATCATGTGTTTTTAATAAAATGTGAATAAACACAAATCCTCTCAGCTCATTTTCCAGGTCATCCCAGTGCTGTTTTTGGTACATCCCCACCTGCTGCTGGTGTGGTCATCACTCCACCACTTTTTGCAKCGGTATGTTTCAGTTTGTTTTGCAAATCAGACAGAAATAGTGGCAACATTAGTTATCACATCAGTTGCAAATTAAAGCATGTTTGTTTTATTGATTGATTGACTGATTTTATTTTATTTTATTGCACCATTTCTTGTTCTTAGTAAATGTTTTTGTGTTTCAGGCCTCAGGATTGCCTCATTCGCAGAAGACTCCTCAGCCCATTGTCCTAGAAAAGAAGTTGTTTTCTACTGGCCGAAAAAGTCGRAAACAATCCTCTCCTGGCGCCGGTGAGATTTCTGTCTAAGACAAAAGCTTTTCATGACTCCAAGCTTGCTGCTTCCTTTAAAAAAAAGTCTTTTGTGCTTTTCTTTGCAGTTCACAGTCAGCCTGAGTCCAGTCAAGGGTCGCCTTGTGGTTTAGATCAGGTTCCCAGTCCTCAGTCAATAATCAGCTGCAGCTCAGCTCTGGTAAAGAATGAGCACAATCAGGTTTGTGTCTGTTTGTTATTAGCTGCTCACAGGTGGGAGTGAATAAATCCCACTATGCTGAAACATCAGCAACAATGTTTCTTTAATTTGTGAAACGCTCCGTAATGACTCTGATATTTTCCCTGGCGTGTGACAGAACTGGAGGACGAGCCACATATCTGCTGAACAAAAGAGACGCTGCAACATAAACATCGGTTTTAAGACGCTTTGCAACGTCGTTCCCACTTTAAAGTCCCAATCTAATGTAAGTCTGTTGAAATGTGTCTTCCGGGGCTGGAATTACGCAGAGCTTATTCTGAGGTTTACTTCTGAACTGCGTGTCTTCAGATTACAAACGCGGTCACTCTGCAGAAGACCGTGGAGCACATCGGGAAGCTCCAGCAGGAGAGGCAGCAGATCCAGGAAGAGGTCAAGAGGTTACGAGAGGAGATCGAGGAGCTCAATGCTTCTATTAGGTAATCTAAAACACGATATACGTAGCACTGTGCAGAAGTCTTGAGTCACCCCTTATCTTTTATATTTTGCTCTAATTTCTCTATAAGTGGTCTCCATCCATAGTTTTTAGTTCTTATATGATAAAAAAGTAGCCTTTTATACAGAGTAGGTCGAAATAAGATGTGCAGAATAAAGTCAAAGGTTAAAATAAGTAAAGAAGCAGCCAAAGTCTAAAAAATAAAAACTTCTGAAAAGTCACTTCTTAAATAAAGATGATGAACTGGCCTGACTGCTCAGAAGTAAAATGTAAATAAATGAGGAGTGATTGATAACGATACACATTCTCACCCCTCTGAGTGTGTGCAAGAAGTTGGACAGACTCTGTAAAACTTTAACTGTTGCCTCTCTGTGTTTGTTCTCAGCTCGTGTCAGGAGCAGCTACCTGCGACAGGTGTGCCCATCAGGCAGAACCGCTCAGAGCAAATGCAGGAGAAGTTCAATGATTACGTGAAGACCCGCACTCTTCAGAACTGGAAGTTCTGGATTGTATCTTTCCACAAGGCAGATCTCACTGTCTTTGATGTTTTATAAAAATACATAAAAACAGAGTGATGTTGGCTGTATCATCAATAATATACACATTCACAAACACTGAACGCTTTGCTGCATCTTTTAGCTACATTTTATCATAAAAAAGGAAATTATTTTTGCTTTTTACTAAGCCAAAGTAACTATTCATGAAGGAATCCCCTACCTTTCTTTGTGGTCGGTGCCTTCTGCACAGAGCATCGTCTACTCTTCACAAGTGAGTCAGTTTGTCCATCACCAGTAATCCTTGTAGCCACAGCGGAGCTATTTATGCGCCGCCGTTCTCACAGCTCTGGTTAGATATCTTTTGAAGCTTAGATAGCGGGATGAGATAATCAGCGATGCTGCCCGCAGACCCTGAACGATTCTTGTATCATGTACTGTTGCAGAGGAAGTCCGTAAACTGTTCTGAACGTTTTCTGAGCAGCCTCAGTGTTTGTTTTTAATGCTGTTTCGCTGCAGCAGAACTCTTCTGCCAAATCTTGTGGCAGTGAGTTGTTTGTGCCGGTGCCCATCAGCACAGTGGGAAAAATGATTCTAGTAGAAAGTTTGTCCTGTTTTAGATTTTTAATCTCTCCTGTTTTAATTAAACAGTTAAATGTTTTCACATATTTTCCACTAAGAGAGTTTTAACCCCAGTCTCCAGTCTTGACCTTGATGCGGATCACTGGAGCCTAAGCATCGGCTCTTGACTGGACACAGCCGTTCACATCAGGGCTACCAGAAGTGATGTTTGTTCACCACTTCCTTTTGTTGTTTCAGTATTAGCAGCTGACATTCAAGCATTCTACTTGCAGCAGAGTTAAAGCCTGTGAGCAGTAATGAACAACTCTTAATTGTGCTTGTCTTGACTTCTATCCTTAACAAGCTGCAGAGACATGATGGTGGACTTTCTGCTAAATTCAGTTTTCTTCAACACACCTAAAGTTTCAGCTCTTTTTCTTCTTCTCTGCTCATAAATACTTCCAGAGTTTGCTCCGTAGTCATTTGTAGAGCAGGGCTGCATATCTGGCTCTCTGATGGACTATTTTCCTTGACTCTAATGCTCTTTTCAGTTCAGCATCATTATCAAGCCCCTCTTCGAGTCTTTCAATCTAATGGTAACGACAACGACCAAGGCGGAGCTGTATCGGACCACGCTGCAATGGCTCGATAATCATTGCTCCCTCCCCGTTCTCAGACCCAGTAAGTAAAAATGTCACTTGCTTTAAATACACTACTCTGTGATTAGTCGACGCAGTTAAAATCTGCCCACACACTCTGAACAGATCAACAGTTGAGTCATCAGGTCAAGATTTTGTTCCAGTTGCAGGGATTTTCATTTTTGACTCTTCTAATATCTCTGTTTGTATTTTCCTGCATTTTACTCAGTTACCATGATGCAACGGAGGAGTATTACAATACAACTTAATTTGGTTGAGATCAAATTGCTTCAGATCTGATAATCAGGGTTAAGTGAAACATTTTCAACCCCTCTCACAAGTCACAGGAATTTGGTTTTTTTCAAAGCCATGTCTGATTTTAGCTTTAACACTTAGCGGCAGATAAACAGTGATGACGTCTAAGATTTTTATCATCCAGTTGTAGATTTGTAGCTTACAGAGGAAAGGGCTTTGCTTTATRTGAAAAGGAAATTATTCAGCTTTGAGTCTGTGTCATTGGATCAAAGAAAAATCCCTACTTTAAGCTTTGGTTTCCATTWAAATATTTGTTACTTTTTGACATTCTTGTCTGACATTAACTGATTCAGATCTGTCCCGCAAGAAAATTAATAATTGTAAGTCTGCCATAGTAGCCATCAAAAGTGTCCAAAGTGTGGCCTGCAAGCAGGCCGTGAATTAGAAATATACATTTTGCCTGCAGGCTGAATAGTTTGATCTAGATAAACCTCAATAGCAAATTTTAAGGGTGATTTATTTTTTTAATATGTAATTTTTGGTCCAACGTTAAAACCAGATAAGGAAAATCTTAATGTGAAATATAAAGAACAATACAAGTTTTTTGTCGTAATAAACTACTTTTCTTATTTTGATCCAATATCCTGGTAAAAAGAACGGCAGACCTTTTGACTTTTATTAAAAAGATGACTTTTTTAGTAACTATTCGTGGCTAAATGCAGAAAGTGTATTCTAAGAATAGTAGTTAGGGGGATATGAGACTTTGGTAATGGAACTTAATGTCAAACAAAAAAGGGGCATTTTTTTTCTTTTAATCAAGAATTCAAGTTTTTGTGGTCCACAAGTGCTCTTCTCCATTTCCCCTACCATTATCCAAGTCCCGACCCACCAACGAGACCGCCTGCCCCTCCAAGAATTTCACATCATGTAGTCATTTTTATTTGAATAACGCCAGATCAAGTTGAGAGCTATTTTTGCGGTCACTCCTCCACATCCACCTTACACTGAACTTAGGGGAAAAAAAGACGGTTACCGAGCGAGTGTGTGTGTGTGTGTGTGTGTGTGTGTGTGTGTGTGTGTGTGTGTGTGTGTGT